GCACTGATTTTGGCTGATGTTTTGTGACGGTAATAGATGTGTATGCACTAACCAGGTCCGTTCATCTGAATAGGAAAACTTTGTCAATTTCGCTCAAATTTAGAGGACATCAAAATTCAGTGCTAACATGCTTTTTGCCTGTGACCTTCACAGTTTGTGTGCATCATCTCCAAGCCTCCAGCTCATCCAATTTACTCTGACTGTCAAGAACATGATTAAAATGGCTCTTGGAGGACTGCAGACTAGGACGAGTTCAATCTAGATTTGACATTATTTTTATGCCAAAAATGCGAAACTTGAAAAGAATAAAAATCTATTAGAAATTAATCATAAAAAAAGACGACTGCAAATGTATGTGATTGTGCCTCTGCAGAAAGCCTTGAAAATGAATGCAGTAATCCTGTTGAATGAATTACACAGGATAATAATAAGGGAACTAGCATCGAGAATACTGTACGGCAATTTCCATTTGTTTTTTGTACTGCTTACAGATGGATTCCATTGTGCGACGTTCACACATTCGCCCATCCTGGTTTATGGGGATCCAAATCAATAGGAAGTGCAGACAGGGACTACAATATTTCCACTGACTACTTCATCATTATTACTCTGATTGCTACTTCAGCGCTTGGCCTGAAAATTCACAGATTCTCAGTGAGCGTCTTGATTTATTTTTAATACTAGAGTAGGGCTGTGAGAAAGGAGTTGATGAACTTCAGATAATGGTTGTTAGATCTGGCTTGAATGAAATAAGCGTTTTCGATGTGATCTCTTTTTTTATTTTCTGGGATTATATCTGATAATATGCAATTTTCAAGCATACCCGTAGTTAAAATACGGATGTACAAGCTCATTCCAAACATATTGAATAGCATAAGGTGCATTTAAATCTTGGCAAGGTGCACAGAAGCGCCTCAGCATATCTTTAAAGTGATAATATTGCAATTTCCTAATAAAGCACTGCCTGCACTTTTTTTTCTAACGTTCTAAAAGACCGTTTAACCTCTGTTTGAAATCATAAGCTTTTTATTAGCCTATAGTCTATAGTGAATTCAGGTTTAACTGATGAGCACAGGAATAGTTTGGTGTGTTATGTATGTCATTGTATGCTTTATTACAATTAATGAAGAAAATGCAAAGAGGAAAATGAGAGCACAGGATGTGGTATTCAACCTAGCCCTGAAGTGATGATAATTTGATGAGGAGTCTTACTGAGTGATATAACTGCAGATCAGCTCTCCACAATAATTGTGCATGCTGTAAAAGTGTTTGCGGAGAAATGATTTTTGATTATATGCACTATAGTTACCTTAGATAATGATACAATTAGCCACTCTCATGTTTACTTCTATTCAGAACTATGCAGACTATAAGCATAATGTATATTTTGTACAACAAAGCCTGTATTTATTATGAAAATGTCCTTATAGTGACCAGTCAGTCATTTCTTTCTCTGAATTATATTCAGCCAGAGTCAAACATAGTCTTCTAAAGAGGGTGAACGCAGAAGCAATTTTCACACACCTTCTGGAGATCTGTGATCTGCTTCCAAGAAAATACCGCAATCTTACTGTGAACGAGAAACGACAAAGATTTATGAACAACCCTGCAGAGAGTATTTCAACTCAAAACCTTGTATTATTAGAGCTGTTGGTGTTTCAGCGTGTCTTTTTATTTCACTTTATAAATCACTTGTCAGGGACAATTTCTCTGCCATTGAACTAAAAAAAAAAACTTTGCACAATTAATCAGTGACAGCCCCATAAAAAGGACAAATTAACTTAGGTAATTACGGGTCACGGGTTATGGTTCTTTTACTTTTAGTCCACAAATATTCTTCATAAAAACCCTTTTCTTCCAAACTATTTAAAGCATTTTGTGGCCATAGCAACAATATCATTATTAACTCTCTATTGTTGCATGTTGACCCTCTTGCACTGTGTTTGGCCATGTAGTGGTATGGAAAATGCTTTGACAAGAAATAGTTATATAATTTTGTGTTGTTCCAAAACAGAGTTTTACCGTGACTTTCATTTCTTGAGTTTCAGATTTACAATACATTACATCACTTGCTCACCAATGGATCATCTGCAGTGAATGGGTGCCAGAATGTCAGAATGAGAGTTCAAACAGCTGATAAAAACATCACAATAATCCACAAGTAAACCACACGACTCCAGTCCATCAGTTGATGTCTTGTGAAGTGACATGTTTGTTTAGAACTCTGTTGGACTGTTTTTGCTCGTAAATGGTGCTTGATCTCTGCATATTGCAACTTTTTCACTGGAGAAAGCAATACAGTATTATCGATTGTAGACTAGTATTTTAAGTTAAAAATGTCTTAATGATGGATTGGTTTATTACAAATTCACAACTTTTTACTTCTCAAGCTGTTAATTGATGGACTCTCATTCTGATGGCACCCATTCACTGCATAGAATCCTTTGGTGAGCAAGTAATGTAATGCTAAATCTCCCCAAATCTGTTCCAATGAAGAAACTCATCTACATCTTGATTAGCCTGAGGGGGAGTAAAAATCAGTTGTTTTGCATGCTTAGTACAGTTTTGTATTGAGCTAAATAATTGTGACAATCATCCCAAGTGGGCCAGAACAAATGGCTTTGAATGAGCTCTTCCATTGAAGATTGCTTCAGACAACCCATGGACCACATGGTGGCACTACAGTCGCCCTCCTTCTCTGCTTGGCTCTGCCATTCATGTAAATACCATCATCTTGAGGTCCTTTCATCAAGGAAGAGTGTTACATCAGTGTTGAGGCACCCAAATCTACAGGTTTTGATAGATAAGTAGGGATGCATCTGCTGACACTAAGTGCAATGATTAAAGATTTACCTCTTGTCATCTGCGAGATATGGCCCCTAAAAAAGCCTTGCTTAACGCTTTAGACCAGATAAATATATTTAGTGTGGTGGAGCTTAGAAGTTCAGCATATTATTGAAAACCAGTTTGCTGGATCACAGGGTAAATTGGGGAACATGCTTCATATCAGAGATTCCTGGGTGTCAAATAGGCTGTGTATAGGATTAACACTTGCTTCAGCAGATGTTCATTTCCAAAACATATGTCAGTGCTTAAGCCTGGTGTAAACAGAAGCTGTGGACTGGCTTTATCAGTTTTGGAACAGACTTCATGTTTACAATGCTGTAAGCAGTTCAGTTGCACACGCTGGTCACAGGCAGTTAAAACATTGCCATCACCTGGACATAATGGAAAATTCAAACAATCATAAGCAAATCCTAGCACAAAAACAAAACTATGAGACAAAACTATGGAGGAAATGGAAACTGGGGGAATGAACTCAAGGAGAAAGTGCTTGAATGAGAGGCATTTAGCTCAGCACTACAGGTAGCGTTAAAGCATCTGCGGCTTAGAGGTGTTTTAATGTGTTCAGTGCCTGTGGAGAGTCAGGGAGTCTTCCATCTGTTTCTACTCCAGTTTAAGGCCAGAGAGGGTAAATCATCTTCTCTCCTGACCATTTGCATCTGTTGCTCATATTCACTGTTGAATAGGCACAACATCATAGGCATTTATCCTCAAGCAATGCTGGTGTCATCTATCTAATTCTTCATATCTGTAAACTAATTCACTTATTACTCTATTCATTTAGGAGCATGTCAGTTGTCCAGAACATAACCTAGCATGTTAAGTTGGAAAAGCAAATCTTAATGTGTCCGATTTTGAAACAGTCATTAAATATTAACATACAAATATTAAATATTCATAACACTTTACAGTGAGGTTCAGTTTGTTAACATTATGTAAAGGCAGGGATTCACAAACTGTTTTGCCAGAAGAACCCAATTTGACCTATACGTTGAAATAACCTTTGAGATTTTAATTTAATATTTCAATAATTTAACAACGCATGCTTGTTCATAGTTCTCTAATATTGATTAATGAAAATTTGTTTGTTTTTTGTTTTTCAAGTTTTTTAAATTTATTTTAAAATTATTTATTTAAATTATTTAATTAATTACTAGCTTTTCATCATCTCACGAACACCCTGCAGTTCCCTCACAAACCCCAGTTTGTAAAATATTTTACAGCAGTTTGACATGATATAAAAATGTATGTGCAGAAATTAGCATTAACCTAGATTAATGATATAAAGTTTAGTTCTTTGTTAGTCCATAATACCTAATACATAAACTAATTTTAATGAATTATATCTTATTGTATTTTTTTTTCAATAGGCAAATAATCATATAGGAGAGAAAAAGGGGGTCCATATTTGCCAGTTTGTGGATTTGTTTCATTATATTGCGATTATAGAGTACAATAGTTCCATTATGTTGAAGGAAAAGGCATTTATCTGCGTTAACTGTCTGTAGCAGTAATTTGTCCATATGTTTTAGATATCTTTTCAAATCAAGAGCAACCACCGTGGTGGTCTATTACAGCATGTAAACATAATGGTTCTCCCTCTCTCACGAAATACTGAGAGTGATTAGCTGAAATAGAACTGAAATAGAATGGACTGATAGAAGGCTAATTATGCACCTACTCAGGGTGCCTGTGTCCAAGACTAATGTAGTGTGTTATGTAAATTAGGTTAGGAAGTTACATAAGGGCAATCAAATAGCAAAGCCATCAAATAAATGAGTTCTGAAGGACTTGGCAGCATCTCAGCCCAGCATTGTCCATCCAACTTAATGAATTGGAATAAAATATGACTAATCATAATTTGGGACTGTGCGAAACAGCACAGTATTTTCCATTTGCAAGACTCTATTTCATGCATTTTTCCAATTCTTTTATTAATACAGAGTTGTCAAGTTCTGTTATTAGTACAGAGTTGTTACATGCTCATGTCCTAACCAGATGTGACATGACAAGCAATAAAAGTTATCTTTTATATGTTAATCTGATTTTTTTGTTTTAAAGGGGGGTTCATACAGATGTGCAGCAACCAAAGTCATTCATTTTCAATAGAGGATGTGATTTCTGGTGACATGGACAACAGCGACTCCAGAAGTTTATGCTATGTGGTGACTATCATTGAAAGTGACAGACAGTGGAGCTCACATGATCCATCTCCTGCGAGATGCTGCAGTCGAGTGCAAGACGGAGGGGAAGTTAATTTCACTATTCTGTATGATCCGTCTCTTCCCACATGCGAGATAATGGAGCATGGAAAACCGTGTGGGAAACTGTCAGCATCCTGGGTGAGTTTCATTCAAGCGCTGATAATTGTTCACCTTGTTCATGATATGATGCATCATGCACTGCTGCAGTTTACATACAAAAGTTTTTCCTTGCAGAATGTAAATTTGTAGCAGCATGAAAATGAATTCCTTTTCAAAATAGAATGACATATTAGTTTTTTACCAATACATCTGACTAGCGGCCAACTATACTTTGACTATGTTTGTATTTCTGTGGCATCGCATCATAGCCCTGCCCACTAAGAAATCTTATTGGTCCAAAATTGCCACTTCACATTAAATGCATTTTGATTGCCTATGATTGCATCAGGTCACACAGCAGTTGCACGTTCAACTTGGACAGAAAAAATGACTTTTACCTGGAATCTTATCGCATCATGCCTGTTGAAGTGGTATGAGAAATCATAAAAGAAAATGTAAAATTTACCCAAAATATTACAAACATGCACATTCCCTGTGTCAGTGATCCTCAAAGCGACTGTCATGCAGAATGTCCCAATACCTCAATATGTTTTAAAGGGGTCATATGATGCTGCTAAAAAGAACATTATTTTGTGTATTTGGTGTAATGAAATGTTTATGCGGTTTAAGGTTCAAAAAACACATTATTTTCCACATACTGTACATTATTGTTTCTCCTCTATGCCCCACCTTTCTGAAACGCGTCGAATTTTACAAAGCTCATCGTTCTAAAAAAGCGAGGTGTGCTGTGATTGGCCAGCTATCCAGTGCGTTGTGATTGGCCGAATACCTCAAGCATGTGACAGAAATGTTACGCTTGTAACACTCCAAAGAGAAAGGAAAAATTGAAATCGCATCATATGGCCCCTTTAAATGAGGCTGGTAAACTTCGTCAATTAAACTTTACTCTTCCAAACTAAATAGACTTTTACGCCCTTGCAAGCTTTCTGGTTGTATTGATAACAAGAAAACACATTTAATTGATTTCATTCAGACAAACTGATGTCCACTCTTCACTTTGACTGACGTCCACATAATAAATGTAAATTAGTCAGTTCTATAAATATGTCCATCATTTATTATATAGATGAATGATGATGAATCAGAGCATGCACTCAAATCTGGTTTTACTGCCAAGGCAGAGAAGGATTATTAGGCTTGCTTTAATACAAAAGATATTCGGTTGGATGCAGTGCAGGTGAGGATATTATATTGCTTTTTGAAGAGACCCAGTGCAATGCAAATTATGTTTGTTATACATGATTTGTTTTCTATTCCTGTCGTTTTTCACTTTATCCATCTGCACAGGTACAAAGTTGATTGCAGCATCTTTTCATTGAATGGTGAGGTCTATTTTGTTTGTGACAGAAAAAATAAGAATTTGATGCAATTACTAACAGTTTGCGATTTCTGCATGCACAGAAAAGACTAAGAAAAATAAGAATATTTCATGTAAGCAATAGTCCTGTTAGGGACTCAACTGCAAAAGTCTCAAACTGCAAAGTGCAGCCCTCAATTTGGCTCTGGATAACTCACTTTAAAAGACTCAATTACTAAATCCACTGCAGTCAGCAAAATGAAAATGAAGATCTTAGCATCGCAGTCTCACCTAAGAACATTTATTACAAAAGGCAGGGCAAAAGTTGTGGTTTAACGATCAGCCAGTTACCGTTATGATGTAGAATGTTTTAGAAATAACGCAAACATCAGCCACGATTTTTGTGATATCAGTACACAGAATTATCTGCAATGTCTCAATGGATTTTTTTTTTCTGGTTGACTTCATTAACATTGAGAATTAGCTGGTGAGCAACCTGATGAACTGTTGACAAGTCTTAACCTCTTCTGCAATAAAATTATGTAAACTTAGTATATGTTTCTGTCATTTAGTGTGAAATATGAAAAACAGTGCTAAACAGTGCTTTATCTGCCATGTGAGATGAAATACCAGTGTAGTTTAATACTTTAAAGTTCATAAACAACTAATATATACAGCATATTTGGTCTTATACCATTTGATAAAAACTTTGTTGCATTTTTTTTTTTTGCAGTTCAGCCTGGTCATAAATCCAGTGCCCAATTCCTCTTCTTCCTCTTTTTTTTTTTGTAGGGGGGCGGACTTTATATTCGAGTGCTTCTTAAACATCTGTTCTGATATTTTCACATTCACATGCCAATTTCTCAAATACTTAATAGCTTTTAATCTGACCATCCCTGTCAGTCTTATTCCCGTCTCACAGCTTCAGATTTCAATAGCTTCATACTGTAAACCGCAGCCTTTATTCATGTTGAGGTCGTGATTGCTTTCGGAATGATGGAGATGATGACTTGAGATCAAGGGCAGGGACTTCAGCTATCTTTTGTGTACACATGATTAAACTATTTGAACCATTTGTTCAACAAAGAACAGGTACAACTCAGGGTCTTTTAAAACAGATTGATCTTGGGTTGAAGTAAAAAACTAAAAAATATTTTTTAAATAAAAACAAATATTATTTTGCAAGTCTTTGTATCTGTTGTGTTTAGAGACATTTAGAGATTTTTCAAAAGAAGATGCCCTTTTCACACGGGTCTGAGGAATGTTTTATTTAAAAGACTGCAGATTACTTTGTTCTTGAGTAGAAATGCACATGAGCACACATAGCTTAGGAAAACTCATAGTATTTGGTTTTCTTTTATTACCCCATTGCGATTATAATGCTTTGTGCATCTGCATCAAATGCTTCTTTATTTATTTAAAATAGCCTTTTCCATTTTCATTCACAATGCTGCAGAGAGAAAGAGAGGGAACAGGAAATGATGGGGAAATGTTGCAAACTGTATTCAAATATGTACTGTTTCCATGAGCACCACAGTGCAATCTATTGGTGCATGCATGTTTGTTAACTGGAAAGCCATAACTTTTGTCACAAAATAATGCTGTTTAAAAATAATGTTCCCTTTCATGGGAACTTCGAACTGCGTCCTCTAGGGGTCGCTATGTCGTCGTGACCCGTGTCTGAAGCATACATTGAAAAAACACCAACAACATGTTGACCGGCATGACCGGCAACGTCACTACCGGTGCGACTATAGTATAAATAGGCGCCGGGAGAACACATCATCCTCTTCTTCATCTTCACTGACTGTTTTGTTTGAAGCGTGCATTTCCGTGGTAACAGCGATCTCTGTTCATTCATTATGGCGAGCACTAGCAAAGCGTTTAGAAGATGTGTGCATCCATGTCATCGCTATTTGACACCCGATGACACACACAATCTATGCGTTGTTTGTTTGGGCGAAGAGCACGCACGCGATGTCCTCGAGGGGGCAATCTGCGTGCACTGTGAGCGTTTTTCAATGAAAAAGCTCTGTTCTCGTTTGTCTCTTTTTTCGAGTAAAGAGGGGCAGCCATCTGCTTTCCGTGGTTCAGGACCCGCCGCTGCTGAGGCACGGAGGAGAATGAGCTCGTGGGGATCGCAGGTGGATCTGGCCAATGAGTTTAAAGAGGGGCTTTCCCTCTCACGCTCGTCGGCTGTGGACGAGAATGAGCCGCTGGAGGATGATGTTATTTCTTTAACATCTTCTGATCCAGGGGCCAGTGCTCTGCTGGGTTCAGCCCAGGAAGAGCAGGAAATGTCTGAGGAGGGCGAAGAAGCTGAGGCTGAGCCTTCCCAATCCTCCTGCCCTGCGTATGATGAGCTCTTGGAAGTTATGGATCACGCCACAGCGAGGCTTGACTTGCCATGGAAGCGGACTAAGGAAGTGAGGTCGCGAGGTTGTCTCAATGAACGTAATCTTTCTGGCCATAGCCCTCCAGCTCAGGTGAGCCTTCCTTTCCTTCCTGATCTCCATACTGAGATCGAGAAGGAATGGAAGAGGCCGTTTTCCTCACGCATCCATCGGTTCCAGCATACCAGTTATGCCAACATCGAGGCGATGAGCGAAAACGGCTATGAGAGGATGCCCCCGGTAGAAGAGACGCTAG